CTCCCAGCTTCCTGGACTTTGAGGGACTGGATCTCAGAGGTTACTGAGAATAGTGACCTGCTTGAAGAAGCCACAGGAGCCTGATGTACAATTCTGTCCAAAGCTGGTGAGGACCGCCCACGCAGTGGGCAGACCCAGCTCCACGGGGCTTTTGTTTGTCTGGGTTTTTAACAGGAAATACTCAGATTTCCGAGTGCACTGGGTGTTAAGTGACAGTGGCCTTCAACGTACGGTAGGGGCGTGGTCAGTGGAGGTGCGGAAAGCTGCAGGCAATGCCTCGTTATCATCACTGTTACGTACCAATACCGAGGTACTGGCAGAAAAGGAGGATAACCACTTAAGGTATATTTTTTCCAGAATCTTAGCATAAGTCAGTTCCCCAAATTCTTTATGGTACATTCACAGTCTGCAAGGCTTTGCTTACTGAGGGTGTCGTGCTGATAGTTTTTAAATTACCTATGTATGTATAAAAAGAAAACGTAATCACTTCAAATGAACATGAGTGTCTTTCTGCATGCGAGACCAGGGACGATGAGTGTGTGCTGATCCTATTTAAAGTGACAAAGGACGTGAAGTATTCTCAAGGCTGCCTGCTCCCCTCAGATGTCAGCGTGCAGGGATGGAGCTGGCTTTGCACAGGACCGTCACCGGGAGGGCGGCCCTGCAGGCCATAGGGCCAGGCGCCGGGGACACCAGGGGGCGCTTGCTAGCAGGCACACTTAAGGGGACGCCAAGCTGGGGCAGGCAAGGTGACACCGACTACACTGGTCTGCACTGGGTCCCCGCAAGTGAGCGGCACAGACCTTCTGAGGACAGGCTCCGTGGGAGGGAGGCCCACTGAGGACAGAGGTGCCACGGTGCCCACGCGGGCGGGTTGGGTGGCCTGCACGGCTTACCTCTGTGCTCCAGTGCAGGGCCGTTGGCACCCCAGCTCTGGTAGAGGGTAGCGAGGTCCTTGGGAATGTACGTCTTAAAGATACTGAGGATGTCCAGAGGCTTCTCGGGGCCCTCGGGCGTGGGTTCCTGCTTCACAGCCTGCAGGGCAGTCGGGGCCTGCAGGGTGGCGTTCCCTCTGGAGCCCTGGCCGGCCTTGGAGGGGGGCTCTCGGGGAGGTAGAGGGGGGCCCCCGTCACCTTTCACATGAGGCTGACCCTGAGGCTGAGGGTTGAATTTGGCTTTCAGTGGTTCCAGGGCACTGTGCTTATTTGGAGGGCCAACGCTGGCCCCCGCCGGGGGCATGACATACTTGTCCCCCAGCCTGCTGGTGGCCAGGGGCTGGGAGCCCGCCCGGGCGATGACAGTGGGCGTGGGCGTGGTACT